TGTCTGTCTGTCTCTCTCTCAAAAATAAATAAACCTTTTAAAAAAATTAAAAATGTGAGAAATTAAACCAAGTAGGCTTATTGGGTATGTTAGATTACACAGGAAACATTGTCTAATAAGTGATTATATTTATGTAGATATGTTATTAAAGCCGGTTTTTTGGGGCTCCTGGGTGGCTCAGTTGGTTGAGCGTCCGACTTCAGCTCAGGTCATGATCTCATGGTTCATTTTGTGAGTTTGAGTCTCATGTCGGGCTTGTTGCTGTCAGGGAGGAACCCACTTCAGATCCTCTGTCCCTGTCTCTCTCTGCCCTTCCCCTTCTCGTGCTTTCTCTCTCAAAAGTAAATAAAACATTAAAAAACCCCACAAATCTTCTAAGAATTATATGAAACTTCTAGCAATCTGATGTCTTGGTATATTATTATCTTGAAGTACTATGTGTCACAAAAATAACCAAATTTCCTTTTCAATTGCATTGCAAAGAACTCTAATCAGATCTTTAACCATGGCCATTTTTAAGTCTTTTATCATTTATAGACAGTTGTACTTACATGCCTCTATAAAAGTTTCTTGCACATGTGCTTCATCTTTTGTGAGACCTAAGGAAAAAATTGAGTAAAGGCTTCCGATAACCTTAAGATCATAAAACTGAACTAGGTAAAAACTTTTGGAGGTAGTAGAAAAATTAGATTCATGCAGAACCAGAAATAATAACATGGGACTGAATAAACTGAGGAAGATAATTATACTTTTTATGACTTTTTCTTTGAAACATTGCTGACTCTTTAAAAATGTTTTATTTTTTCCAGATTTAAGAAAATGTTTTCTCTTAAGCTGACTTAGAGCAATTTGACAAAATATACCTTTTTGAACAAACTGAAACATTTATATTTTTCCCTACCTGAACCCTCCAGAATTCAGAAACTCTCAGTGAGTATTCTTATATTTTTATGGCAATATGTTTATTTGCATAAATTCAACATGGAACTTATTTATTTTATTTGGTTAAAATATATTTTGATATATATTTTTATTTTATTTTATTAAAATATGTATTTTTAAAGTTTATGTATTTTGAGAGACACAGAGACAGGGTAAATGGGGGAGGGACAGAGACAGAGGGGGAGAGGGAGAGGAAAGGAGGGGGAGAGAGAGAGAGAGAGAGAGAAAGAGAATCCCAAGCAGGCTGTGCACTGTTAGCTGTAGAGCCCGATGCAGGGCTGAAACCCAACAACTGTGAGATCATGACCTGAGCCAAAACCAAAAGTCAGATGTTCAACCCACTGAGCCACCCAGGCGTTGCAAGAATCTGTTCTCCTTGTAACAGGGAACAATTGGAAACACAGGTTATTTCACCAAGGCTTTGACTGGAATGTCTTATCTAAGAAAGACATGTATAGACTCAGATATGACCAGACAGCTTCTTTACTTTATGATGTCAATGAAACCCCTTGGAAATCTTAGCCTGATACCTTGTTTACAAAATTCCCAGCAGCCTTACCCAGTGAGTAAAGAAAGACACTTCCTGGCAGGTGTGGGAACCTCAGGATACTTTGGGGACTTCCAAAAGAGAGGAATCTACCCAAATCCATAGGTATTGCAGGTAAAGTCTGATGGCAAATATTTAGCTTGGCTTTCAGCCTCGAGAATCCATTAAAAGTTCACTCTAGAGATTCCTTATGAAAAGTTCCAGCAACAAAGGTTTTAAAAAGCCTGTACGGTGAACCACTATTCTTACTGGACTTATGTAAATAATCAGGCCAATTTTTTGCAACTAGACTTATTTTGCAAACAATGTTAATTTGGCTGGCTTTGGTAAAAATGAGGGTGATTTGTAGAGAGAAAATATGTTTCAACAATATACCTTTGTAGATTTAAAACTATTTATTATAAAGTGGGCTAGATCCTGATTTCTTCTAGTGTCCTCCAGTGCCTGGCCAGAACTCTCCAAACTAACATTTTGGCTTTGCTCCCATTTTTCTGACTTAGAATCATTTGAGAACTAAAACTGCCTTTTTCCCTGAAGCCCTGCAAACTAAACATAAATGACTTGATATAAACTTCAGAGAAATTGCCACAATAGCTCATATATAGACAATCTTCGTGTTTATTGCTCAGAGGGCCATTCAGAAATCACCAGACATTTCAACTGCAAACTAGGAAGATCTGTGAGATTTCTACTACCTGTCCTCACTCTACTGAAGATGCTTTGAATCTGACGTCTAGGCATCTTCTCAACTGGCTACCCTCAGAACCCAGAAAGTGGCTTAGCATTTGATCCAATCACTAACCAGTATTTTTCTTTTGTTTCCACAGAAACACATCTTATTTAATACCTGATTACTTGCACCATGGGCCTACCTTTCAGAATATACCTGCATCACTGCCTCCTGAAATAAGTGTGACCAAATTGACTTATTTTCAGGAGTAAGAGATGGTTCAGCGAGATGAAACAACCTACCAGCTTAACTTCTAATGTGTGAAACTTGAGGTAAGTTTCAGAGTAAGAAACTGTAGGGTCTGAGGGCAGGCTGCCCATGACAGCCACTTTGGCCTGAACATTATTTTGAGCTGAAGGTAATTGAGACCTTAGGAGCTCAAGGGAAACTTTTGCCCCTCTCTTAGTGACATAGAGGAATCTAAATGGAAGGTTTTTCTCAGAATAATGGTTATGAACAGAGATAAATTTTATCTGAGTGATCCATCTATATACATGGCAGGAGAAACATGTATTTCTAAACATCTGCTTTACTTACCACCCGGTGAGGTGCATTCCTTCCCTTTGAAGTCCCAGGCCCCTACCCCCATTCCTCAGTTCAGGATGATATTACACCTCATTTTGCCGGATTGTCTTTGGAATTTTCATGTCTGGATGGGTTCCCCATATGTATGCTTTAAATTTGATTTTCTCGTGTTAATTTGTCTCTTGTCAATTTGATTTTTAGTCTAGCTGGGGCACCTTGAAGGGGACAAGAATTCTTGGTCCTAGTCATGGTCATCCAAGTCATGCAGTTCTACTTTATTGGGCCTTAGTGCCATCACTTTATTCTCATTGGTGTGGCTTTTCATCATCTGGATGAAATTTTCATCATATGTAACTTTCGTGAATTTCATTATATACTACCCAATTTCAAATTATTCTTGAAACACATCAGTTGCTACACTTTTAACACTCCTGTGTTCAGAGAAGTTCTGTTTATTTTCTTTCAATAGCTTATTTCTTTGTTTCTTTTTTTTTGTTTGTTTTAAGAATGTGTACTTATTTATTGAGAGAGAGAGAGAGAAAGACAGTGAGTGGGGGAGGGGCAGAGAGCGAGAGGGAGAGAGAATCCCAAGCAGGCTCCATGTTGTCAGCGCAGAGCCCAACTCTGGGCTTGATCTCATGCACGGTGAGATCAATGAGTGAGCCGAGATCAAGAGTCAGAGGCTTAACCAACTGAGCCACCTCAATAGATCTTGTTTCTAAGTCGTTACTCTAAGCACTATAATAGGTTTTCCTGGTCTGCATTCAGACTCTTTTCTTTACTTTTCAAAAAAAAATTTTTTTTTAATGTTTACTTATTTTTGAGAGAGAGAGAGAGAGTGCAAGCAGGGGAGGGGCAGATTGTGAGGGAGACACAGAATCCGAAGCAGGCTCCAGACTCTGAGCTGT